ACCATTTTTCGCATGTATTCAGATGCCTTTCAACTAAAGTAGTGACGAGCTGACTGAGATTTACACCACTAGTCCTACTGACTACCTTCAACATCCTTCTCAGGATGGTATAGTCCTTTTTCAGTAGACCAGGAAAGACTAACGGGGAGCAGTAAAGTAGAATAGGTAAGATACAAGAGTTGACAAATTGTGAAAGTAGAGGTTGGGTGATTCCAGATTGTCTAAGTTTCTTAATGTAGTAAGTTAGACGGAACACTTTCTTAGAAATCATTAGGATATGAGATGTCCAAGTAAGGTCGGAAGATAGAACTAGACCGAGGTATTTAGCATTAGACTTAGTTTCAATTTTAGTCCCCTCAATGCAACAGTCTTCATGAGAACTTACTAGTGTTTGTAGATCTCGTTTATGCCTAAGGGAGAAGTCAATAGTCTGGCATTTTGAGGGATTCAACATGAGACCATTTAGTTTGGACCACTCACTGATGTCCGACAGGAAGCTATTTAATTGCACAATTAAAACAGTAAGAACTGCAGAAGAGCTCAAGCACTTTGATGGATGGAAATTCTGGTAGCCCAACGATTTAAGCAGGCTGCCGTTATTTGATAATATACAAAAAAACCTAAAGTACATAAGTAACAAGTCTAGGTCTTATACTGGTTTTGTTTATTACTGAAGAACTTGTGTACCTTACAACTGGCATTTCTTTGCCATTGATATCAATTTTATTCAAGTTTGTTTCATCGCTTTCCTTATTTGAATATTATAAGTTGATGGCAGAGGTATTAATTTTAAGCCTTTGTCTTCTAGCAGAATAAATACCTTCTAATTTCACTAGTTTTTTTTATTCCTTCACGTTCCCAGTGGAACATAGGGCTTCAAGGTAGAGGCTTGAAGTTTCTGTAGCAGTGGTGCTTATTTTTACAGGATGAGGTTGCTAGCCTCATGCCCAACCTTCCCTCTTTACCAGCTTTTTTCTTACTACTGGGTTAGCGAGGTAAAGGAGTGTGTCGGCCGGGGATCGATCCCCGGTCCATCTGCATGGTCCGCGAGCGTCCTAACCGCTGGTGCCACCGACACACTACTTTGACTAGTTAACAAGTTCTTATTCTGGCTAACTAACTTTTCTCATCCTTTCTTATCGAAGACTTGTTTATTCGAAACATTCAAATGTTTTAGTTGAAGTTTATTAGTATACGCCATGCAACAGAATTCAGGAAGTATTTAATTTGATGACCATAACATTATTGGTAAAGATATTAGATAGCTACATATCATTTTGTTTTCATCTGAATTATTTAACTGTTCTGAAGTGCAATCAATCCCAGTATATTATACGTTCTGTAATCCACTTGACTCGAGTATCATATGAATGCTTGTTAAATAAAAAATCGCATGTGACACATACTGATCATCTGTTTATCAGTATTAAGATAGATTACACTTTGTTAAATAGTATCCAATTCCATCTTATGAGCAATCGTTATAAACTACTTAAGAAATGCTTAAATAAATGAATTCCTGTTAACATTTCGGAACTCCCTTTATAAGGAATTCAATACTATTTCATATCACCTCTGATATATTTTCATGAAACGGACTTAAGAGTCACAAGTACTATGATACAATTCTTTGAATACGATCACGAGATTAATGCAGAGTGGTGATACTCATTGGAACTAGGGCGAATTTCTTTAATAGTAGGGCACAGTTGTAACGTCGTTTGGTGTATTCGAGTATTCTTGTGTTGTATTGGCTGGATAGTTTAATTGAGAAGCTTTCGCTGTCTTTCTGGACAACATACTCAACGCTTTTGAAAGACAAGTAAAGCTTCGCAATTAAAACACAGAGACAAATTCTCATTGATGAAATATACTACTTACAAGTACACAAATTCATCCGTAAAATTTTACGAGAAGACAGAAATGACAGTATTTTTATCTCTTCATACTCAACCTTTAAAAGTAACAGTTTTACAAAGATGGGACACATCAGTTAGGTGGTTGCATTACATTCAGATCAGAACTGTTATTCGATACAGCAAATGCAGTTGTCTATTGTTTTTTTGACAAAGCGAGCCACAAGTGACATGTTTCTCTTGTATAAACCATGAAAGAGGTTGACTATTATTGTGATTATTTGATTATAATGTGTGCATAAAAGGCGGTACGTACACTTTATATTGCGTGTACTTCCACAATATGCTGTTACTATAATACCCTTGGGTTCCGACTGGAAGAAATGGCTTCGCAGTACATCTCCACTTCATCCTGTTCACTGAAATCTTTTTTAGCTAACTCCACGATTACCGATAAGATTTCATTTCTTCCTCATACGATCGTCCCCATTTCACATTTGGACCCAAACACAACTGTTCATCCCCCATTCGGGTTCCACTGAAAGTCGTGCCTCGCTTTTGATGTCACTCAGCAGTCTTATTAAAGTATGTCCAGTCTACTTCGATTTCCCTCTGCATAAATGTTGAGAGGTAGGTTCTTGGCTGACTGGTTCTCTGTCTGCCAGAGTACCTTGTCGCTTATCATTTATGGCCTACCGTTTGGTTTTCAGCCTTGAATCAGAGAAGGTAAATGTTGATGAAAGTCTGAATTAATCTACTGGAAATGCTATTGATGACACTGAAGACTGTGAAAGCACTGGCTGACTTGAGATTAGTGCTGAAGATCCAGACCCTTTTCCCTATTCTGATTTCCATATTGACGTCAGATTAATGAATGTCTGCCTTGCATTTCAGATCCTGTCTTGATGCGCACAAGATTTGCTTTACCTAAATTCAGCTTGTTACCGAAAGATGGACGTCTTTATTTCTGTATGATTATATGTCTCAGTTACTTTAGTTCTAATTCTCTTACGCTTTTTGTATTTAGGCACTTCTGACTGTCTCTTTTTAATCTCCGTAAGTTTATCGTTTTAACATTTTTTGCGAAAGCTCTTGTGAAAATAAAATGAACTTTTCAGGTACTATGATTCATGTTTACACTTAAATCAATTGATTGCATAAGTTTCAGGTGTATAATTTATGTCCACATTATGAAAATATTATATTTAAAGGTCAAAAGTGGCAAGAATTCTTTATAAAATGCCAATTTATTTCATTTATGCTTATTTCCTTATCTTTATTCATCACAAGTTACCTCTTTATGTAGTAATGCAGAAAAATCGATGATAAATATTGACTTGGTTAAGGAAAATGACATATATATAGATGTATATTGGTCATTGGGGAGCTACCAGTGAAATGCGTCTAGTCTTTGAATGGTGCTAACTGAATTCTATCAGTCGATTCGCATTATCGTCAACAATCTAAGAGACATTTCTGAACTAATATTAGACGATTGAAAGTAATCTTAGGACGTCACTGACTGACTTCAACACTGGGTGATGTGGGTTGGAATTTGAGAGTGGGCATGACTTTGTTCAGCCTTAAAAGTATACCTTGCTGATAATGTGCCAATAAGCAGGATTTCCTACCGGCTGCCTTCAACCGTATAACGTTGAAGTGATGTTACACGTTCATCAGAAGTCTCTCGGAGACACTTTCTTTTTTGGTCATTATAGATACTAAAATTCGCTATGCACTTTACTTTCATAGACTCATATAGACGTGGTGTTTACCAGGAATTATCTTCAAGCGAAACACTGATGAAATATATACATATATATATTCAAGAAATAAATCTTAATCACCATTTAGCCTCAGTTATCAGAAATGATGTGACGACACATTTATTATGATTCCCTTGGGTTCCGACTGGAACATAGGGAGGGCTTCAGCAGCACATTTCAATTTCTTCTTTTAGCTGGCTCCATGACTACCTATAAGATTTCAGTACCTCCTCATACAGTCCTCTCCATGTCACCTTCGGACGTGCCATCCGAAGGCCTATCGAGTGATGTCACTCAATGGTCTCCTCTAGTGACATGATAGTTATGAATAATAATAATAATATTATGTGCTAACCTTTTCTTAATGTAAATTACTACAGAATGGCCAAATTCATATTTAGCTAATTAATTCTAGTCAGCATTAAAAACTGTCAAGCTGTATCCATCGTCAAAAAGCTCTCAAGTAGTACATGTTATACGTATGCCAGTATATTCTGTCTTCTTTTTCAAATCGATAGATATCCTTCTCATGTTAACTCCAACTGTATATACAAATTTACATGTATCTGCGGAAGCAGTTACATTGGAAGAACAGAAAGAAGGGCATATCTACGATTTTTTGTGAACATGTACCAAAAAGCTTATGTCTAAAGGGAACAAATGCTTTAAACAGTGCTATCGCTAGGCATCTCCTTGACACGGGTCATGAGGTGGACGTCGCAAGATAGTTCAAAATTATCAATAGGCAAAAGAGTTCAATTCTCCTCAAGTTTGTTGAAGCCATCTCCATCAAGCGCCTGAAACCTGATTTATGCGTTCAGAAAGAAGCAGTTATCAGTCTTTCTTTGCCCTGGTAACTGGATATTTTCACCTCTCTTTCATCTGATTACGTAATGTCGGAAGTTTCCATTGTGTATGATCATTATTGTTCGGAATAGTGTTTAATATTATTATATATTACTGCTGTATGCATATACTGATTGATTTTTGTTTAAAAATGAACTCTGTGGAAGTATGTTAAAAATAGTTTCTGTAGATATACGTAATAATGAATGTGGCCTGTAAGCAGCTGATGAGAAGCCAACGAAATAAATGATGGTACTACTTTATTCTGCAAAAACTGTTGTTCTTGCTTTATTCAAATATATAACGCTGTCTTTTATGCAGATACTTAATTTTACTTCAGTTAATTTACCATATTATTAGCATGTATATATAGCTACAGCTGTATGTATAACTTATCTTTTTTTTTAAATATACGAAAATATATATAAATATACACAGATGAATGAAAGCAATAACTGTCGATACACAATAGAAAAGAAATTTGAAAAACAACAAAAACAAATACATAGTTAAACTAAAGTAAACAAACATTTTGTTGTTGGTGGTGTTGTTGTTGTAAAAACGGAATAATTTCTCTATACAAATTATACAAAGCTGTACAGTAGTAATTTTAGTCCTATAGAAGATATTAGACAAAAATAGAAAATAATCACAAAAAATATTCATTCAATGATGCCTAAAACTGAAGTGTCTATTACGTCATCATTATTGCAGTTATTAATATTTATATAAATAATAATAATGATAAAAGTAAAAACAAAAGAAATTTTTATACAAAGTTAAAAGGCACAGATTAATTAAAAGTAATTATTAAAAAGTGATAGATCAGACTGGCTATAGCATAAGTTCAATTTCATGCTGTTGTCCAGGTGACATATCTGCTTTCCGCTTGGCTCTTCGACGTTGACGTGTTACATAACAAAATAGTGAACTTAAAACAATGAATAAGGCGACAGATGTTGCCAGTGCTATCTTCTCTCCAAATGTGAACCATGCGACTGGTTGACCTGCAGAAGAAAAAAAAGTTACAATAAAAAGATTACTGAACAACTATGGTATCATTAACCTTAAATATTTACATGGAAATCTAGTTAGTTAAAGTATTTTCAACCATGACAGCTGTAACACTTGTGAAACTAATATGCATACGTTACAATTGCAATATATCTGTATTTCTTCCTCTTATTCTATAGGTACAGGTCGTGTGAATGTGTAGGAATTGAACATAAATCATTGAACAGAAAACCTGTACTTTTAATCTGCCCGCTTAATATCTGTACTTCTTGTTGTCATAATAATAAACTATGCTTTACTTTCGAATTTCGTGGGCTTCCTGTTGTACTCCAGTGTGTTTGTGTTGGCTGGTTGTTAAGTGCATGCTCCTTTATTTTTTTTAAAGTGAAGCTGTTCCCTGAGCTTCAGTCGTCGTAGCTTCATTTGTCACAGCTATGTACTTGACAATATTTCGGATTTAACGACTGACTACTTATTAGTAGATAAAGTAAATAGGACTATTATCAGGATTCATATATTTGACTTGACATTCCTACGTTATTCGTGGAAAATTCTCATTGGGACATATAGAAAAACAAAACAATTTTCAGAGAGGAGACTCTTTTCAACGAATTTATTATCAAGCTGCACAATCATATATATATTGTTTTTAAGAAATTATATCCGGTGAGGGAATTGAATCATAGGTGTGAATACATAAAATAATAATAGTAGTATGAAATGCAATTAAAATAAAAATGTTTGTGATTAGAATCATAGTTTAGTGTCAAGTGGCAAAACAATTAATGTCATATATAGAATAATTCACAGGAGGTATAAAACTTGGAAGGGGTGTAAAATTCTAGGATTAGTAGACAAATGGAATAGAACTAAAATGGTTGAGTGACATTGTGTGAAATTTGATGACATAGAGGGTGCAAGAACACTATCCTGCATGGTGACGAAGAAATGGAAACGGAGCTGTAAGAAGCGCGATCATTGAACATATGGTCACTAATGATCACCCTATCTGTACGGCTTCAGTCTTTAAAGTCATCTACAAGGCGAAAAGTAATTTGTTCAAATAATTACGTCTCCGACTCATCTGTGGTGTTGAAGCCTTGGCCATCGAAATCGAGAAACCAGATCTCTGTATACAGAAAATGTTCGTTCAACCCTTCCAAATTTCATGGTCTTATTCACTCTATGCTACAGTTTGAGAATCCCCATTCATAGTTTTGCTCTACTTATTTTTCATTTTGTTTATTCAGTCTGTATACTCTTCCTTTATTACGTCATCTGTTACTATTACTATTCTCACTTTGAATTGTCCCCGGTATTATTTCACTTGTTTCACTTGTCATTCTAAATCAGTTTTGTTTTGTAACGTTAAATTCTATGCAACCAAACTTCACACAATGTTACGTAACATCTTTATCTTGATTCTGTTTGCCTACTAATCCTATGATTGCACACCCCTTCCAAGTTCTATACATCCTATGAATTGTTCTATATTTGAGATTCATTGTTTTACCACTTGACACTAAACTATAATTCTAATCACAAACATTTTTATTTTAATTGCATTTCATACTACTATTATTATTTTATGTATTCACACCTATGATTCAATTCCCTCACCGGATATAATTTCTTAAAATATATATATATATATATATATGATTGTGCAGCTTGATAAATAAAAGAGTCTCTTCGCTGAATCACTTGCTTTGATTTTCTATATATTACAATGGGAATTTTCCATGAATTTTGATTTTAGACATATGTAAAAATTATATTTGTAAAATCTCAGCGAAACTGAAATAAGTAATTCCAACGTTTCGCTCGGCAAACTGGGCCGAACTTCTTCGGGGAAATTAATCGAAATTAAAATAACAAAGGTTTATATATAAAGAGGACATTTCTTGTTCTACAGAAAGGTTTTGGTTCATATAAAGAAAGACTGACTGTAGATCCTTACACATATGGGTGAATCCCAACAGTCTGAACAAACGTGAAGGTGTGATGTTAGCTGATGCATGACAAGTCCTGATTAATAGATAAAAATGGATATATATCACTAATCAATCATACTTGACCTAAATTCCCGATTGTCTATATCTTTTTATGGAGAGGCTAACAAATGATTCACACATGCACACACACCACTGTATACCGCATATACTTCATATATTTTTCTCATATTCAGTTATCTATGACCATGAACTTTAGTCGAACGTAATCAATACAAATCTGATGCAAAAGTACACACTGTTTGCAGTGTTTAACAAAAGTAGACTAATATTTATAAGGCGAGCTCGTAGACCATTCATCAGCCACTGGGACCCGATCCAATGGTCCTTGAATTCTAACTTCTGCCAATTCACGACATAGCGCGACCATTTCGCAATGTCTTCTTAGATGAGTTACTGTCACATCTTCAACCTGCTGTACCCTACTGGTCACGGCTTCCCACTAGAACCCCAGGTTAACTGCCTGAATAGGGCCAGTCACTAGTGAGCATCAGATTAATTTTCAAGTATTGGTTTGGTAGGGATTTTGTTTGATTGTATGGAGGATTTCATCATGAGCTGACATCAGTTAGAGAACCACTGGAAAACCTGGGAGTACTGGACAGCTGTTTCGTCCTAGTTTGGGACTCTTCAGCAGTACGCACCCACCGGGATTCGAACCCAGGACCTTCTGGTTACAAGGACCATTGGATCGGGTCCCAGTGGCTCAATGGTCTACGAGCTCGCCTTGTAACCAGAAGGTCCTGGGTTCGAACCCCGGTGAGTGCGTACTGATGAAGAGCGCGAAACTAGGACGAACGAAACAGCTGTCCAGTACTCCCTGCAGGTTTTCCAGTGGTTCTCTAACCAATGTCAGCTCATGATGAAATCCTCCATACAATCAAACAAAATCCCTACCAAACCAATACTTGAAGATAATATTTATAAGTCCGAGGTCAAATTTTGATCACAGTTCATACAATTTTGTTTATAGTATTTTGATGCCTGTTTCATGACTGGACAAAGTTTTTAAAAACAAGAGGTGTCCTTTTTATATATAAACCTTTTTCGAGTTTGACCACGGACTGATATCAGATAGAGAACCATTGAAAATCAGGGAGTACTGCCGATGATTCCCAAACTAGGATGAAACACCTATTGAAAAACAACTATTGAAAACCTGGGAGCATTTGACAGCTGTTTCACCATAGTTTGGGAATCATCGGTAGTGCACACCCACTGGGGTTCTAACCCTGAACCTCCCGGTTTCAATTCAGGCTCGTATACGATTCCTCCACTGGGACCTGGTTCAGTGGACAGTCCATGAATTCTAACTTCTACCAATTCGTGATTTAGCGCAACCACCAACCAATGTCATCGGCGGGAAATCCATCCTCACTCCCGACTGTATGAACCTCACTGGTCACAACTTCTCACTGGAACTCCAGGAAACTTTGTCCTGTAACAAGTTACTAGCTATCCATATATATATATATATATACGACTGTACAGCTTGATAATAAATTCGCTGAAAAGAGTCTCCTCTCTGAATCACTTGTTTCAATTCCTACGTTAATAAAATTAAAAATAATCCTAAACTACTGGCATTAAGCGACGGAGTTCAAGTATCCATTAGGAAATATAGTGTGAAGTTTATTATTTACTATGAAAGGGATAAAAACAGTCCGATGGAAATAAATAATGAAGTTCAAAGTTTGCAAATTTATTTGCGATTTCCAATTTTCACAGTTTGAGGTGAAATTTCATCACAGTTTCTTTTAGAAGCTGAAATTATTCAGATCACGATATGTGATCTGTTTGATACCATAAATGACAATCAAGAAAACAAGCATAGTTGTATAATGATATTTACTACTAATTGATTGATACGAGCGAAATGGATAGCCGTTATCTAGATCACATCCATCCGGCTAGCTCGAACTGTGGAAGTTGTAAATCGTGAATTAGTTTGTAAATTGCAGATTTGCTTTGATGTATTAATAGTCCACCCAGAACTCGAGTGGTTTGAACCTGCTCGGCTACCTGAGCTGAGTTACACGAAGAACACGATCCCAAACTTCGTCTAGCTGGCAAGCACTAATGATTTATGTGAGTGGTACTCAACCATCCATATCAGTCAATCAGCAGTAGATATAGAACAAATCGTCCACTAAATTTACTAATCATATCCAAAAAAATTCTGCAGAAGTTAAGATATTTTTTTAGTACAACTGAGTTTTATTTAGGAAATTATTGTCCCTTACACTGGAACAAGGGCTTTATATTTTCGTAATGGAAAGACGGTATGTTTTCCTGCGTGTGTATTTATTCCCTACAGATTAAGATATTAGGATTTCTTTTTGAAAACATGATTACCATGGATTTAAAACAATTAATTCCCTTTATGAATTTAGATAAAGCAATAAGAAGACGTAATTTGTTTGAATCGTGTAACGTATTTGCGCAACACATTTCGAACAATTTGACCACACACGGACTTGTCATAGGAATATATATGGAATTAATAAAGATTGTTTTGAAAATTTCACTACAGACGCTTAAATAACCTTACTGGAAACCTAAAATCAAATGCTCGACTGATGAGTAAGATACTAGAATCACCAGAATGAGGTATTCCTGGTGAAATGGTTAAAAGTAGAACTAAAGACTAATGAAGATACAAATCTATAATCCCTAAGAACCTAGGCGTTTTCATCTGGTTGATAATGACTACGAATGGAATCTAGAATGCGCATTTCTTCCTACTTGGGAACTGTCAGCCGGATGTTCATGCGTCCCCAGTGGGTGGCAGTGTCCAGACTGATACTCGAATCCAGAACCCATTGTTTCAGTAAGAACATCTCACTGGCAAAGCTGGTACATGCAGTTGATGAGCCCTAATTAGGACGAAATGCTAGCCACCATCAACCAAATTATATCATGTCGGTCTTCAGACATCATCGAGTCATCCATACTAGGAGCTGACAGATCCGATATAAATC